CGGGAGTGGCGGCGATGCCAGGAAGCCTCTGGGCTGGAGGATTTCCACCTGTGGGTGTTGCTTTGCACAGGACTTGTGAGCACTGGATGCGCAATTATTGGAATACAAGAACATTAAATTAATGTCCATGTATTCCAATAATTATTGCAGGAAAAAAAATGTACATAAACAATTTTATAAATTTTATATGATGAGTTTTATTCATAAACACAAAGAATGAACTTTTCACTTTTTGAAAAATTATACAGCTCTTCAGCTCTAACCCGGTTTCCTACGTGAGCGATTAAATGCGAGTTGCGTGGGTGAAGCGGAAATAGCAAACTGGCTGTTTGTGTGGCGCTGTCCTAGGTTACAGCGAAGCGATCAGGAGAGTAAAGCGGCCGGATTCCGAGATCAGATATTTCGATATGTTCGCGTGAGTCGCTGCGCTGGCCGTGTAGTACACGGAAGGTGCGTGCGCAGGAATGTTTCTCTCACGTAGGACACAACGAGCGATTGCCCGCTTCATATGACACCCCGAGCTCGCTTGCCTTACGGACGGGTCGTCACTGACTACGATACTGTCAGGCAACCGCCCATGAAATTAATTTAACTTGATTGTGCATTAATCTGCTATGTGGACCAACAAATAACCAAAGAACACAAATCAGTAAGTAAATATATTTGCATGACCAAGAATAAAAAGAAGAAAGAAAATGTACACCGGAGCGAACGTCCCCACCCTCACATGGCCAACACCCTAGAGCCAAAAGAGATTTTTATGGAAAAGGCCGAACTGTGGGCGAAGGTCTTCCAAGTTACAGGGCAACGCAGTCCCAAGGAGCGGAGGGGAAATGGCAACTGCGCATGACCATCAGGTAGTATTCAGAAAGATCGTAGTTTGATTGTCGCTTCATTAGCCGTAACCTTTTGGTTACCGCTGTCATGTCACATGACAATTATTATTTGCTCTCTGTTTATTACAGTTACTAAACTTTTAGTTGTGCTTATATGAACAGAACAATTTCTCTTTAATGCAGCATTTGGTTAAAATATAGATTTCACTACAAACAAAACTTTATCTCCAGCCACCAAAAAATATCTAGTCTTTAAAATGTCAATCGACAATAACTTTTCAGTATTCTGCGCAGGAAATCACGACTTGGGGTTCAGTTATGTATATCTAGTCTTTAAAATGTCAATCGACGATAACTTTTTAAAATGTCAATCGACAATAACTTTTCAGTATTCTGCGCAGGAAATCACGACTTGGGGTTCAGTTATGTCTTTATAATTGTTCAATAAATAATAATAATGCTTTGGCGAAAGGCAATTCATATATCAGTTGTTTACTCTGAAATACAATATCAACATCACGATCCACCTTCCGACATTTACTGATACATATTTTAGACACAATAACATCATTTAAAAATATATTTTCTCTTTATTAGTTAGTTTATATATTTCGATCCACGCAAGTAGAATGTATTTATTGCAGTTAGGACGATAAATAAAAATTGCGACTCCAAGAGGCTGGCGGCCAGTTCAAACGTTCGCCGACTGACGCGCCCTTCTAAGAGGGTGGGAGAAGGTGTAAGCTGTACAGCAACTTTCTTTCCATGAACAACAAATCAGGGTTTTTTTTTCAAACAATATAACAACAAATAATGACATTCGTAATACCTTACAAAAACAGAAGATAAACGACGGATATCAACAGACATCACGCAATACCCAGTTCCGACGGTCCTCACGAATATAAAAAACTATCAGGTGAGTACGCGGAGCGCATCGCTGGGTCGGAACTGACAGTTACAGTCTTGATCCATACACGGCTTACGGGTTTGTACCCTCAGTTCCTCAAATATCTTCGCAAGAACAGAAAAATTATGCCTTGGGCCATCTATTATATAAATCTATTTTATTCTGAGATTATAGATGCTGTATTTGAGTAGAAGACAATGCTTGTGCTACGTCCGAGACGAATAAGGGGAAGGGGTGAGCATGACGTCACAGCGTTACAGATTTCCCTCCCGTCCCACCCGCACTGACTGGTCTTCGGCTTGTGAATTTCTAGCCGTCAACGAAGCTCGCAGATATCTTGAGACAAGTTTTCCGATGGGAGAATTTCTAAGCCAGCTGAGCCACCACCAGCTTCTCAAGGAGGATTCTCGTACGTCAATTCAGTAATACGTTTCTAGGTGCCCACTTTCCAGAAAAGCATTTATTTCTGAAACATAATAGCCTTCATATTTGCGTAGAAATAACACACTCCATTCAGTGGCCTTGCCCCCCTCCAGCTCTGTGTAAAGAAAGTCCTAATTAAAATGTATTGGAATATAAAAAGCCTCTGAAACTCTCTTAAAGTCGCAGAAGATTGGACCCGGAAGCGACTTGGTTCTTTAAGTGCAATTTCGAAGGGAAAAATGCCGAGTCGAGAGGTCGTGGTGTGTGTGAACAAGTCCGTGTGTTACTCTCGAGAGAACGCCTTTCACACGTCGTCTGTCTGCCCTGACAAATGTCTGACATCAGCATCGCATTACTCACGTGTTACGAGCAGAACACGAGACGACATCGCAGTTTTGCTGAGCTGACTCTGAGACTCGATCGAAGGGCGACCTTGAAGAGTTGCTGGTTCAGAGGCAACAATTTATGGTAATTGTTGGTAATGTGATGAACTCACGACTAAGTCACCTGTTTAAAGAACGGGATTTTGATGCAAGGCAAATATTTCATTAAAGCTTAAATCTTTCTGGAATACCTTAATGTAAATGCATTAAACCTGATCGCCTTGTTAACATCTGTGACATTTTAATTATCTCAAACTCAGTTGTTCATCTGTGGGATTCGGATGATGATGATTTATTGACGATTTTTTAAACTTGCTGATTTCCAACCGACGGCGTCCCAAGACGAAACAAACCACGAGGAAGACGTCAGAGGTTTAATTACACTCTTAAATTCTGGTCCGTGTATACGCCATCATCTGCGTTACAATGAATGGCTAAGTTTATAGTTTTATAGGTTATAAATCATTATCCAAATTAATTTCCTAACGAAGGACGTGCTTTGACGTACGTGCAGCAGACGACAGTTAATTAGTGACACACTAATCCTCCTTTGTCAATATCGACCCACTGATCGATCATATTCTCTGTGAGTTCCTGTTCCTCTAACTGCCCGTATGTCACAATGCACTGCTCTGATCTGACTTGGTTTCGGGGAAGCCGTTCTTTTGTGTTGGAGCTGTTTTTTTAAAACGTCCCTAATGAAAATATATAGAAGTTTAGATTTCAGAGAAAACAAAATAACCCCCGTCACACGCCCAATTTTATTAAAATCTTCTTCTGTTCACACCAGTTTCGTATTTTCAAAGGTCGCTTAATAACAGACAATAGTCATTTACGCTAACAAGCCCAATTAGCCGCCATGTTTTTTCCCCAATTAATTCGCATTTGGTTTAAATAAGAATGAGAGGAAAATTTTTTGGTGAGTACAATCGCGGGTTTTATGCGATGTTGTGATTACTCTGTATGAGTTTTCCAAAGGAAGTGTCGGGGGGACACACATAAGAAGAGAAATTATATCAGAACGTTCCTTACGAAAAGTTGCAAACGTGCCTAACAGCTTTGTGATGTCTGTCTGTCCCTCTCCATCGGTCCTGAGATTTGGCGAGTTTCATTAAAACGTGTCCCCACTTTTCAGTTGTGGTTAAGATCGGATGGATTTAGTCAACGTCCTCACACATTCATTGATGCTCTTTAATATTATCCTACCATCTACCCCTTGGTCTTCCGAGTGGTCTCTTTCCACGTTGCTTGTCTTAAACAGACGAAGAAGCTCACAATGAAAGAATGTTCGGATGGGCCCATGTGCCGCGGGTGCCAACTTAGAATGGACAGAGTGTAACCTCGTGATCGTTGAATCGCCTCGCGTTCTCTTATGTATTCGGCGCATTTCGGCTGACGAGGTGGAAGTTTATCGGTCGTTTCTGTGAGAAGGTCCGAAGGCCGGAACGAACCTGGGCCTTGTGCCACGCCCCCAATTAACACGCGTGACGATTCATTTCACGTCTTGAGGCGATTGGCTGGCGGTATCATAGACGCAATGAGAGCCAGTTCCCTGGTACGGCTAGACGCAGATCGCGGTATAATATTAAAATGGAGCGTGAATAAGTACAGTCTTCCGTGGAATCATCTGGCGCAGAATAGCAAAGAACATGGCGAGCCTTCGGTTCGGTAACAGGCGGGAAATTGTTTTGGCGAGACAGTCGACCTGATTACCTGCTGCAATACCGATGGAGAATTCGAGGCGCCCCACTGCACTTACTTGAAACGAAAGATAGATGCCGCCTGGTTCCAACGTACGAAGATTTGGTCTTGTTGATGGAGTGGATGAAAAATCATTTCATACCAAGAATTCGAGAGGAATTTTGCTTCTAGT